ATGAGGACGGCATGGCTTGGGCAAAATGATCTGCGATCGTGGGGGATCCAGGGGCAGCGACAGGCAAGGGGGGGGGAGCGTCGACTCCCCCAATCGCCCGTTAATCCCCAGTCAGGGCCCGGGTGCCCCACCCCACCCATGAACATGCGGCTTAGTTTCGCTAGCGGGAACCGATCTCCGATATATGGGCAATGTATCACCGATTCCACACCAGTGTCCCCCGCCCCCCTGGGCCAGTACCCCTTATTGGGCCCCCCAAGATATCCCTAAACAAAATTGCCTCGTTGACCACTGCCGATGAGTTTGAAGCCTGTGGCGGTCCTCCGGGGGCCGCGCTCCACATGCGGAGGGTTTTTTGTGGATCACCGGCTGGGGTGGCGCACGGGCAGCCTCCCAGAGGTAGCCCTTGCAGACCTCCAGAGGATGTCCGGGATGTTCTTGGCACCCCCGCGCAGGTCTCCGCGGCGACCCGGCCAGGGTTGCCATGAGTATCCATCGATGCTTATTCAGTGCACATGTTTATTTCGTAGTTTGCTTTCAGATCGTCATCCTTAGATTTAGCGTCGATCCTTAAATTTAACTTATGTTCAGCGACCACAAGCGCCGCTATATATTTTTCAATGCGCAACCTTCGAAAAAAATATGTAGCCGCAGAGCGCCCATGCACCCCGCTGAAGCAGGAGGCGCCGCCTCCTCTGCAGCGTGGCGGCGCGCGCGCTTCTTCTGCCCGTGCGGGCGACCGTCACATCAGCCGCGCCATCGGCTGCACGCGGGTGCGCGCGATGAACGATCGTCAGGAGGGGAAAAAACACAGACACAATTAATCGTCGATTCCCCAGAAAAGATGGGAAAATATGGGAAGTAGGGGGGAAGACAAAAACCCAGAAAATATAGGAAAATATGGGGAATCTTGTTATTTGTGTGTATTCATTTGTGTGTCCTGTGGCCCCTTCAGATCGGGAGAAACCCGTCGCCGTGAGCGCGGAGCCGCGCCTCGTCGCAAGGTGCCCCACGCTGCCCCCGAAGCACTCGTCCCTGCAGGTCCAGCGCTGCGACGGCTGCCCCTCGCGCGAGGGCCGTCTCGAGGAGCAGGCGCGCCTTCGGCTTCACGCGCCAGTTCCTCGGCTGCAAGGGCTCCCTCGAGGGCGCGAAGTTATTCGCGCTTCGCGGTCCTCGTTCCTCCTCCCCCTCCTCCTCGTCCTCCTATTCTCCCTTTGGGGGGGCGGCGCGAGAGCGCGAAGTTATTCGCGCTTCGCGCTTCGCGGAGCGCGAAGCGCGAAGTTGGGAGCCCTAGCGGCTGCAGCGCTGCGAGAGTGGACGACAAGGTGGCGAACCTGCTGGCGGAGTCGCGCATCCAACCCTGCCCGAAGATGCCCTTGCCGCTCAACGCGCGGCAACGTCGCCCGCAGCGTCGTCCACGGCGCGGACAGAAAGACAATATTTCTCGGCCCGCTTCCTTGCAGCGTCGTCCACGGTGCTGCCAGAAAGATAATATTTCTCGGCCCGCTTCCTTACAGAAAGGGATCAGATGCCGCTGAATGGCCCCTTGACCGCGAAACTTCGGATGCGCCTTCTTGGACTTCATAGCGCGCTCGTTGAAGTCGTGCAGCCTGTGGGGCGTGTCGTGCTTTTCGTTGTGCGCCGGGATGAGCCCCCGCGTCTCGTTGCTCCTCTCGGAGCGGCTGCGCCTTGGGGGCGTCGTCATGGCGGGGCACAGCAAGGTCCCCGCGAAGTCCGCCCCGGCCCCTTGGTCCACGGCGCGCAACCAGTCGACCTCGAACGCGTCGATGGCGACGCCATGGGTACTCAGCGCGGGCGAGACGCGGCCTCAGTTGCGCGGGGCGACGGCGACGTCGCCCTGCAGCGAGCGCCTGCTCGCGGGCCTCGTCCACCGAGATGTCGTCGCCGTCAGCGTCGCCACTTGCGAGGGGCGCGGGGGGGGAGCCGGGCAAACGTTGCGTGCGTCCTCCTCCTCCTCCTCCTCCTCCTCCTCCTCCTCCTCCTCCTCCTCCTCCTCCTCCTCCTCCTCCCCCTCCGCCTCCGCCTCCTCCTCCTCCTCCTCCTCCTCCTCCCCCTCTTCCCTCCCCCTCAACTCTCGATTGTTATCCTTTCCCTCTCTCTTGGGTTTCTCCCCCATATTGCGCGAGGCCGGTCGCGTCGCCCGCGCGCGTCGCATTTCCAGCGGCGCTCATAGGCCAAGTTCCAGGCAGGGGAAGATAACCATGTGGTCCACGCTTCCCAACCTGCGCGAAACTGCACGATGGCGCCGCGGGCTGGCAAGTGGGGGGCCCTCGAGGGCCTTGCGATCGCGCCGCGCCCGTTGAGGTTCATCCGAAGGGCGCAAGGACGGGGCCGTGTCGCGCCCGTCTCGCGGGCAGAGGCTTCTCCGCAAAGAGAGGCAATTTCATGGCATGGTGGTCGAGGAAGTCGCGCCAGGTGTTCGTGGACACGAGGGATTTCAGTACGGTGAAAACTGGCGCGCTCAAGTTGCCGCGAGGTC